CCCCCCGGCTTCTAAAGGGCGGTGGAGACCCAGTTGGGAAGAGCTGCACGGGGGTGTGTGTGTGTGTGTCTCTTCCGCCTGGGCAAAGGAGGGGGGTCTGTCAGCAGCCGCAAGGCCAGGTTTCTTGTTGCCCAGCCTTTGCGATCCCCCCCATGGACCGCATCATCATCATCACGCCAGGCCCTCCTGTCCTGTCTCCTGCTGTCCTCCGGAGTTCCTTCGGGTGAAAGCCCCTCGCTGTACACAGCCACTCATGAAAGAGGCCCGGCAGAAAGAGGATTTTCAGGAAAGCAAAACCACAGAGAGAGAGACATTTGTTTGTTTGTTTGTTTGTTTAGTCTTCGAATTCATACCCCACCCATCCCGCCAGCAGCCACAGTAAAAATTTTAACACACAGTATAAACATATAAAATCAGTAGTTACAGCTTTCAATTGAGAGATGCCGGCCTGTTGATGCAGACAGATATGGCCGGTTATCGATGGGTGGGTGACAGCAACCCCACTGCCTCAGCCGAACGCCCGGCGGAACAGGTCCGTCTTGCAGGCCCCGCGGAATGGAAGAAGATCCTGCAGGCCCCTGATCTCAGTGGGGAGAGCTGTTCTCTCAGGGGCCGTTCTCGAGAGAGCTCTCTCAGCCCCACCGACCTCACAGGGGGTGCCTGTTGCAGGGAGGGGAGGGGAGGGGAGGGGCCAGGGCGGAAAAGGCCCTGGCCTTGGTTGAGGCAAGACAGAGGTCCTTTGGGCCAGGGCGTGCTGACTGTTAGCGCCTAAGGCTCTTTTGAGGAGTGTACCAGGAAGAGGCAGTCCCTTAGATAAGAAAACAGCAGAGGCGTGTCTTCACTTGGAATACCAGGGGCAGTTCTGGTCTCTGTATACCAAAAGCGGAGACCATGGAGGTGGAAAAGCAAGCAAGAGATGGGAGAATTTCCCCTATGCAGGAAAGCCTCAAGGGAGAAAAGATTGTGGCGGGGGGTGGGGTGGGGGGTGGGGGTGGCACAGCAGAGGTTTGAAGAAAGACTCCCCTTTCTCCCCCTCCCATGTCTATGATGAGGACTCCCGGGGTCTTCCCGTGACGATGATGATGAAACGGATGGGCAGAGTAGCCAGGGCAGCCTGAAGGAAGTTCTCTCCACCCCTCCCACTGCTGCAGGCCAGCAGGTGGCTTTCCAAGAGGATCAAACGTGTGCAGGAGGAAGGAGTGGCCTATCGACAGCTGAGGGGTCCATGGAAGCTCCCCGTTCAGAGGCAGTGGGCCTCTGAGGGCTGGGTGTGTGTGTGGGGGGGCAAATTGAGAGCCAGTTTGGTACAGTGGTTAAATATGGCGGACTCTGATCTAGAAGAACCAGGTTTGATTCCCCGCTTCTCCACATGCAGCCAGCTGGCCGACCTTGGGTCAGTCACAAGTTCTCTCAGAGCTGTTCTCTCAAGGGCAGTTCTCAAGAGACCTCTCTCAGCCCCACTGACCTCACAGGGTGTCTCTTGCGGGGAGGGGAGGGGGAAGGAGTTTGTCAGCCCCTCTGAGACTCCGAAGGGTCATGAAGGTCAGGGTATAAATCCAGTCTCCTCTTTTTCTCCTTCATGGATGCCACCCAACTCCCCCCCCCCCAACTCCTGTGGGAAATTAAATGGTGGGGCTCAGTGGCGCCGTCTCTGGTCTACTCTGCAGCAAGGTGGCTGTTGCTGACACAGACGTCCTCCTCCTCCGTCTGGGGGCTGAGTCGGGGTGAACCCTTCCTGCCTTGCAGCGCACAGTTGGACGAAGCGGATTCCTCCTGGTCCGGTTCCAAAGAGCTCGGCAGCTGCCTTTCTGTGTGCCGAGGGTGATGACGGCGGTGGCCCCTGCCCTCCTGGAGGTCTCTGGTCAGCTCCCTTTCCCCAGCTGGACGCAGCAGCGGGTCTCCTCGGAGGAGGAGGAGGAGGAGGAGGAGGAGGAGGAGGAGCAGCCGGCCCCTGCACCCTCCGTGCCTGATGGTGAGTCTGCCCCCTCCTGGCCCTGTGGGAGACAGTGTGTTTATCTATCTATCTATCTATCTATTGGAGCCCTGCATGGGCTCGGGGCGGGTTCCAACGGTTGAGCATCCCGCCCTCCAGGGCACTGCTCAGCATCCTGGCCAGGGCAGCGTCCCTCTTGGAGGGGCTTTTGTTTGTTCGTGGCTTTCGTTTGGAAAGAGAGAGGTCCTCCCCCCCCCCCCACTGTGGTTGCGTAAATCAGAGGGAGCAACAGGTGCCTTGTCTGCCTTTGCTTTGTTCCACACCTGGCCTTCCTCCCTAGTGGGATCCCAGAGTTGCTGATATTGCTCTTCTCTTCCTCACTTTCTCCCCACAACAGTCCCATGAGGTAGGTGAGGCTGAATGCACGTGACTGGCCCAAGGGCACCCAGCAGGCTTCCCTGACAGAGCTGAGACTTGAACCTGGGTCCCCCAGATCTCATCCAGGATGCTTGTAGCTTTGGACATCTCACAAGAAGTTGGGGGGGGGGGAGGCGTTCCTATGCTGCAACGTAGCCTGAGGGAGGCCCGTGTGCTTGGTTTCCACAGTGGATGCTGGGGCCCAGAGTCGGGCATTTCTGGAGGCCAGGCCAGGCCTGCCCAGGGTGGGAAATACCTGGAGGTTTTAGGGGCGGGGCTTGGGGAGGGGAGGGGCTTCTGTGGGACTGAATGCCGTAGAGTCCACCTTCCAAAGCAGCCATGTCCCCCCCCAGGGGAACTGATCTCTGTCACCTGGGGAGTAGCTATAAACCCAGGAGATCTCCAGCCAGCACCTGGAGGTTGGGAACAGTGTTCCCTCTAAGCTGAGTTAGTGTGAGCTAGCTCACCATTTTTTAACCTCTGGTTCACACATTTTTGTCTTAGCTCAGGAAGGATGGGGCTCCAAAGCAAACTAATTGATGCAGTAGCCAAATGGCTCGCTCACAACTTTAATGCCAGCAGCTCACAAAGTAGAATTTTTGCTCACGAAACTCTACAGCTTAGAGGGAACATTGGTTGGGAACCCTCCTGGGTTGGTTCTTGGCAGGAGGGTGCGTGGCCTGGCTCCCTGGCTGACTCTCCAGGAAGCTCTCTGTAGTTGTGCATCTTTTTGGACAGGGGCTCCCCTGGCCCCCCCACCCCCCACCTGAGTGAAGCCCCTGCAGAGGTGGGAGGGCACCACGGAAGGGGTGGGGGAGCGCTCTAGTTCTGCCGCTTGGTATCCTTTTGGCCCACGTTGGGTCCATCTCTCTGGTCCTGCTTCTTGAGTTCCAAGCTGAGTGTCTGGGGGCTGGGCTTGGCCTTGGCTCCAGGAGGAGGGGGGACTGGCAGAGCATGATGTCCTGGCATGGAAACCCCACCATTGGTTCGGCTCTTGGTTCTTGGCCAGAGGAGCTTGGCGTGCTGACGGGAAGACTGCAGCCCTCTGGCCTGGTGTAGACACACCTCATGGCCGCTGGATAGTCCGGCTCCTCCTCCTGCTCAGTTCAGCTGGATGATTTGCGTGGCCTTGGCTGGAGAGCCACGCTGGCTGAAGCCAAAGGGTTTGTCTGCCTCCGGGGGTGTCTGAGAGATAGTCGGACTGCACTGGATTGAGAGAAGCCGTCTGTTTCCGACTGGCTCCATGCGCCAGGTCTAGAATCCCTCCCATGCATTTTGGAATGCTTCTATTTTTTCGAACACCTCTCCCCTTCCCGTGCACGCACTGCTGGTCCAGCCCTTTCCAGACCCCTCATTCCTTGCCCTCTACATGGGACTGACACATTGTCATCTTGGGAAAGGATTTGGGGCCTGCTTGTATTAACTGTGACAAGCAGGGATGTGCGGGGGGGGGGGAATAGTTTCTTTCCAGATTCGGGTATAATAAAGCCTAATTTTTTTGGTATTCCAAAGTATACTTGAATACTAATACCAGTATTGTATTGGTATCCGAAAACATTCAGTATTTCCGAATATATTTGGCTCCATTATATCCTATGGGGCCATTGTAGTCAATGGCAAAAATATTCTCAGGAGTATTCAGGGGGCTAGGGGGGAGGGGGTTTGAGGTAGATGCACCAAATTTGTTCTCTAGCTGCTGGAGCCTCTCCCCAAAAGAACTCCCAAGTTTGGAAAAGATTGGACCAGGGGGGTCTAATTTTAGGGGCATCCAAAGAGGGTGTCCCAATCCTCCATTATTTCCTGTGAAAGGGGGAAAAGGCAGGCAGAGAATCTCTGCAGCAGAAATTGTGAGATGTGGTGGTGGGGGGCATATTTGCAAGGCCAGCAGCCGAACCAGGGCAATGTTCCCACCAGAACCAGTGCCACTGTGGCAGTGCCAAAGCCCAACAGGACTGAGGTGAAACCTGAGAATCTCTGAAGGGGGGCACGTTTGCAAGGCCAGCAGCAGAACCAGGCAGTGTTCTAGTGCTAGCAGCCAGTGCCAACCTACCTAACAGCAGAACCCAGTGCCAGCCTACTAGCTGAACCCAGTGCCATTGTGGCAAATGCCAGCCCAGCTCAACTGATGTCAACTTCAGCACAGAATCACACAACAAATACAGAAAAGTCCTGCTCAGTAGTGCCTCAGAAAGTGAGAGGGAGGGGGTAGCGTCTGTCCACTGCTAAACTGCTAAAAGGCAACAGAAGAACCACAAAACAGAGAGCCTAGGCAGAAGGCCTAGTCAGAGTGAGCCCCCCCCCCAAGAAACCCCAAAGTCCCCATAAATATAAAACACAATAAAACAGTTTTAAAAATTTAAACTGCTAAAAGGCAACAGAAGAACCACAAAACAGAAGAACCACAAAACAGAGAGCCTAGGCAGAAGGCCTAGTCAATAACCTCCCCCCCAAAAAAACCCCCCCAAACCCCCAACAAGTCAATAAATATCAAGCACAGTAAAAAAAATAATCAAAACTGCGGACTTCCGGTTGATGGCGGCACGCTAGCAGACTCATCTCCCGGACCTCCCGGGGGTGAAGCTGCGCTCCAGCCAAAGGAGGGGGTGTGCAGGCTCACTACTCCCCCAGAGACCCAGCTGAAGGGACCCTGGCCATGGAGTTTTTGAGAGGTTGCCTCTTCGACGGTGTAATGCCGGAGAATTGAGGCACCTCTCCGCTCTGATGGTTCTTTGTGTTGAGAGACCGAATGGACTAAGTGACGCTGACCGGGGCAAGTGCAGGAGATCGAGCGTGAAATGGAGTGTAAACGTGGTCTGTGGACCGATTATGAGCGTGAGTCATTAAGCATTGATTAAAAAGAAAAGAAGCTCCCCACCCCCACCCCATGGAACAGAAGATAAGGCGAGCGGGGGAGGGACGCCTACCAAATGCATAGACTTTAGAGCGATTGAGGGGGGGAGCGGAAGCATAAAAGGTTAAAACTGATAAGGAGTACTTACCAAGGCGAGTGTGAGCGTTAAGGAGCATATTCAGAGACTTTCAAAAAGTTTGCGAAAGTAAACAAAGAGAAAAAGATGGCGGGGAAGAGGACGGAGAAAAAGAAGCATCTGAAATCGAAAGTAACTGAGAGCCCAAAACCAGAAGGAGTCAACGAGCTGGCAAAGACTTTGGCAGACTCCATGCGCCACCTGCTGGACAAAATGAATAATCTGAAGAAGAAAGTACAAAAACTGGAGAAGAAGCAAGTTTCTACAGAAGAGCAGTTTCTACAATTGCAAATGGAAAAGGCTAATATGATCCTTCGCTTTCAGGACATGCCAGAGACTAAGGGAGAGAATCTGAAGGAAGTGATGAGTGAAATACTGGCCCCAGTGACAGAGATGAAGGCGGAATTTTTGCTAAACGAAATGGATGTGGCTTACAGGTCATACTCAGGATATATAAAGAAAAATAATCTGCCTGGGGAAATTGTCGTAAGATTCTCAAAAAGGCATGTAGGGAATGCAATCCTGAAAGCAGTATCGGGAGCACCCCTGAGAGCTGGGGAGAGTGTCATCAGAGTACTGAAGGATATTCCATTTGAAATAAGACAGCGGAGAAAGAAATATAAAGATCTTGTTCTTTTTCTTCAAACAAATTCAATTGGATATAGATGGCTAATTCCAGAATGCATCACCTTTAAAATTAAGGATAAAAAAAGAAAAGATTGACTCTGTTCTGAAAGCGAGAGAATTTTTAAGAGTCCAGCTGGGAGGGCCAGAGGAGGAAGAAAAAGAAGGGGACAGGAAGTCCAGTGGCGAGCTGGACTCGGGTTCTTCCGGAGAGGACTCTCTGTCTGAGAAAGGGGCAGCAGTTCCTAAAAGTCCTTATAAGTTGCGGAAGAGACTGGACAAGAAGAAGTGAAGGCTGAAGGACTCTGATTGTGCCTTTGAAAAATTTTGAATTGAGATGCTTTGGGGTACTTCCTGATATCAGTTAAATTTAAGATCTGGGAAAAGTTAACAGACTATGTGACTCAGTTTGTAATGAGATTAATATGATTAAGACTAGATGTGTATTTAAGCTGATTAGAAGATCTCCTCTCTTGGGTTTTTAGTCAGTAGTGGGTATCTTTTCTTTATCCCCTTAAATGTAGTCCCCTTCCTTATTTCTTTTATAGTTTGTAGTTTTAATAAAAATGCAATAAAAAATCCCCCCATCGGGGAGCAAAAAACCCCAAAACTTTTAAACTGCAAGCAACAGGCTGGCAAGCAACAAACTACACAAACCTCCCCCCCAAAAAAAAACTCAGGAAGAGGTTTTAATAAAAATGCAATAAAAAATCCCCCCATCGGGGAGCAAAAAACCCCAAAACTTTTAAACTGCAAGCAACAGGCTGGCAAGCAACAAACTACACAAACCTCCCCCCCAAAAAAAAACTCAGGAAGAGGCCTGAGAGGCCCTAGAGCCCAGAGGCCTACCACCACCAGCCCCCCAAGCCCCAAACCCACTAGCCCACAAAAAATTAGAAAAGTTAAGTGGCTGTAATAAGTCAAACCAGTGATGTCTTCAGTCTTCCGTTGTCCGGCAGGCAGGCAGGATGGATCTTGATCCGAAGTAGTCCAGTAGTCAGCAGCAGGAAA